ACAATCTAATAAAATAGTGTCTAATAAAGATATTTCGGAAAATTTCATATTATATATATTTTTTAATAATTTCAGCTCCAGCAAGGCAATAAAGCCACTAAGACGCAAACAGTTACAGAGTGTGAAGTAATATGAGAAAAGGAAAAACATTATTAAAAAACGAGAACAATAAAAGAACAGAAATTAAGAAGAGGGAAGATAACGATTGACATTGCATTTATATTTTTGAATATCAAATTTGACTAGAAAACAAAAAGTCAGAAGAGTTTTCCACGAGTGATAAGTGCTGGAATAGAAGCTTTTAGCATATAACTTACGGCTACATCGAGCTATTTTAACTGTAAAATGTTGAGACCTTACCGCCAATTTAGTACTTCGTGCCATAGAGGAAAGGTCATCAGAACAATTACCCTAAAAGTATTTATGGAATACTGTGAAAATATATAAATGTTGTTTCATTAAGACGGGTTATATAAAAGGGTGTTTCATTAAGACGGATCAAAATCAACAGTAAATAAATCAGTGTTATTTGTGAAAATTTATTTATTTCTCTATTGGATCATGTTATTTAAGTCATGGCAATTATGTGTAAAAAACAATATCGCCCAAATGTCCGCCAAATCTGAAAGAAAAAGAAAAAACAATCATTAGATGCTTAAATTAATTTCACATTTAAAATCGGCGGGAGGAAAGTGACTTAAATCGAGATGTCAGGTCAAGACTAATAACATAACAGATAATTCTTTGGATAATCTCCGGGCACATATTAGACGCGCCAGACCATATACAGCAGCGATATTCAATGCACGAACGAATGGTAGACTTATAGATTTATGCGCAAGATAAAGTTTGGTGAGAAGAACTGAAGTTGAAATATTATTTTCTAATGAATTTTTTTGTTTATAATCCGACATTATTAACATTATATCTAATGGATTCCCGTGTTTCAGTAGACAGCTCTATTTTTAACAGAATAATTGATGTCTACCGGCCTGTGTTTCGAGAGTCATTAATAAAATGTATGCCGAAAGGCGCATATACTTTATTAAAGACTCTCGAAAAAAAAAAGAGAGAGAGAGAGAGAGAGATGTGCAGCAATTTGGGCAGCAATCTCACTTTTATAAATGTTTCATTAAAGGCAACCGACAAGCTATTACGTTTAAGATTTTTATTTAATTTTTCTTGTGTTTTTATAATTTTCTTCTTTCATGGACATAAAGTGGGTAAAAAGTGTTCGCATATTCTCTATCTCCGAGCGCTTTCGGCTATTCTGTTAGCCATTATCAAGGATTTTTTATTATTCTAAATGAATGTATAGATCTTTATATACGTATCTAGAGCAATGAGATTTTTTTTTAATTTTACCAACACGGTCAGCACTTTGTGGCTGTGTTTATAGTTGATGTCATTAAGTGTTGATTTTTTTTTATTATCAATGCCTCCATTATTTTTATAATTAAAAAAAAACATTATTGATAATTGTTAAAAGAAACGACGGATGGCATATATATATATATATATATATATATATATATAAGTGTGTATGTGCGCGCGCAAAGCTTATGTGCTTATCATGACATATCTTAGGCTAAATTTAGCAAAACTGCTATATATTTTATCCTTTCCAGTTTAAGTCTAAAAACTGTTTCTAATAAAATGTGTTTATTTTCAGGCAAGAATTTGATATTGTCTTCATAAAAGGAATACGTCACACCGAAATGATCTGTGTATTTTCAACTGACATGAAGAAAACAATTGTAAAGTGTTCAATAGTAAATCACCCTTACCCTTCACTTCCCAGTCTTTAACCTTGTGGATATTCTCAGAGAGACAAGTTGGGTAACATTTGATGCAACTGTTCCTTGCCTGGTCCAACCTGGGCCACTTTGTCTGCGATTTGTAAACCCCCATTAACATGTGTGATTTTAAACCAACGTCCGGTATCTCCACGTCTATCTCCGAAGTCTTGCTTATAAGCGGATTGTTAGCTGCCATTTTGTGACATTTCCCGATACTGAAATAATTGACAGCCTAAAAATACGAGCCGGAATAAAACCCGCTAAATACATCCGAATATGTTCATCGCGCTTACAGCAGTGGGCATTAGGCTTTCACAAGTCACCTCTTCTTTCTTCCAGACCGCTTGTTATTTAAGTATTTTTAGGCGGGACTTAGTTTTCATTCATCTACTTAAACCCCGTATTGGCCTTTCCCCAAGAAACTGTTACGTTCTCGTCATGCCTTCTTCCTCTATTTATTTTTCATTACTTTTTTTCTATAATGGTTTCTGCCTACTATGGCTGCTGTCCCTCGACGTTTAATTTGCATTGTTTATTTGCTTTTTCTTTTACACTTCCTCTTATATTTTTCCCGGCTTTTAAATGAGGCCATAAATGGATTTCTCTAATCACAGAATGAGATGATAATTTCGGTACGGTCAGCGTAAAGAGAGAAGTGTTCATTAGCAGATTTATGCAATTAGCATATACGCATACGCCATTGTTGCCCGTGAATCTATACTGCAGATGTATCTGCTATACACAGCCACGGACTGGGATTAAAGTTTAGTAGCTGTTCTCCTCATCTACAATGGTATTGGTAATATTAACTCTTTCCTTGTAATGAAATATTCCGTATTCATTGACCAAGCAGCCAGTGTTACCGTCGGTTGAAATTTATAAAATCTTTTGCAATCAAAAGTAAAATGGAAGAATTGTTAGCCGAAACTTAATAATCGTTAACAATATTTTGTCTAATAAAACTTCAGTCTGTTATTATTACTACTAATATAATAAAAAGCAAGCAAATGATAGTGAACGAAATACTAGTCAAAATGAATAATAGTCGACAATATTTTATCTAATAAAAACTTTAAGGTAATAAAATAATTTCTTTTCGATCATTAGAGTAAAGTTCTTTAAGTGTTTTCATTCTCTTGACACAATTTTTAAAATATCCAACGCGCACTAATGGGATAATCTTTTGCAGATTAATCAATATAATCTGAATTTGCTTTTATTTTTTCATCTCTCAAAAGCACTCAGTCTGTTCAGATGTAATTATTTCTTAATTACATCAGGTATTTGCAATTTCTGACTGGTTTTGTATGACATATAACATTATGATTTTTACTTAATGTGAATCAATCGGATATTAATGCGATTACACAGGTAAACTGATGTTCATCTGCTTGTCTGGGATTTCAAAGAACAATTTGCCGCAGGTGACAAAATACGGAGATTTCTTCCTCAAGAAGATGTCAGCCTTTGACTATTTAAATTTTGCACGTGCAATAATTTCTGGCAGAGAGAAGATTATTTCCGATAAAATGTCCATTTATGCAAAGCTTTATTTCATGACGGGAATGGGCAAACCCCGGTTCGTTCTGATTACAATTATTGGCTTGCTAGACTGTACAATATACATTATGTGTGAAGATAGATAGATAGATAGATAGATAGATAGATTCATTCAGCGACAAAATTATTCGTACACCCACCAATTTTGTATATTTTTATCCATTTCTCAGAATCTAATGCTCGTATGATGCCAGATTTTTTATATGTTAATAAGCACAAAAAAACGGAATATAAAACTCAATTTTCAAAACAATAGGTTAAATACAAAAGATTTGATAGGCGAATTATGCAAAATAGAAAAAGACAAAATTATTTGTACTGCCGAAAATATCGTTTTAAATTGATTGATTCGTTTAAGCATAATTATTTTATCGGTGAAGTCTTCTACACTATTTATTAAGTAGAATATTTGTGATAAGACCAGCAATAAATATGACGTGGTGCATAGAGTGTCACTATTGTTATTTTTACGTTAACAACACGATGTGGAAGACAAAGGCATTGACTTGAGACAGAGAATTATTAATTTCCACATGTTGGCAAATAGTTAAAACCGGTTAGCTATCCCTAGATCTACGGTACATTCCGTTAAAAATAAGTTCAAACAGTTTGGCACGACAGAGAATTTTCCTGGGCGTGGAAGAAAACCCAAATTGTCACAGAGAACTGCACGAAATCTGTGTCGCTGGGGTTAATATAAGCCTAAGAGTTGTTTTGAAAGACATCGCCAAAAGTTTGCATACGACGGGTATCAGTACTCACACAATACAACATTGTTTAAATAGAAATATGTTGTATGGAAACCGACCACGATAAACCCCTCTTCACAAACTATGTCACATAGTTGCTCAGTTTAATTTTGCCAAACTGTTCTTGGACAAAGAAAATTGCTTTTGGGAACAAGTAATATGGAGTGATGAAACAAAAATTGAGCTTTTTGGGCATAATGATGTACAGAAGATTTGACGCAAGAAAGGTGAGTCTTACCTCCCAAAGAAAACAGTGGTAACATTAAAACATGGAGGCGGTTCGGTGATCTTTTGGGGTTGTTTTAGCTCAAGAGATACTGGACAATTAATTGCAATAAGAGGAATAATGAAATTTGCAAACTAGATGAAAATCTACAACTCAGCACAAAATTTTTATCTGGGATTTACTTTCCAGCAAGATAATGACCCCAAAAATAGGTCTAAATCAGTGACTGCATGGCTTCAGAAAAATGAGATTACAGTTCTGCTATGGCCTTCAATGAGTTTTGACTTGAATCCTATTGAAAATCTATGACAAGAATTAAAAGTTCGAATAAATCGTCCGTCACCAAAATACCTTCAGGAATTAGAATGTGTAACCATTGAAGAAGGGAAGAAATTCACAGCAAAGACTTGTTCAAATCTCATCAAAAATTTTAGAAAATGATTGCAGCAAGTTATAAAGATGAGAGGCCATGTTATCGTCTATTAATATTGTGAAAATTGTTCAATTTTTTCTATTTTTCATACTGTATTAATAATCTTGTCTTTTCCTATTTTGCATAAATCGCCTGTCAAATTTGTTCTATTTGACCTATTGTTGTGAAAATTGAATTTTATATTCCCTTTTTTGTGCTTATTAATATATGAAAAACTTGGCATCATCCGGGCATTACATTCTGAGAAATGGATAAAAATATTCAAAATTGAGGAGTGTACGAATAATTTCGTCGTTGACTGTAGATAGATAGATAGATAGATAGATAGATAGATAGATAGATCATTTTCTTTGTATCGAGTAGAATTTGAGACTATTAAACGAGAAAGCTATCTCCACATGTTACTCACTGAGGAGGGTGTTCGTTTGCAAGTCTATATTGCAAAAACGGCTGAGATAGATAGATAGATAGATAGATAGATAGATAGATAGATAGATAGATAGATATGAAGTTACTGCAATGGATACATCTGAACCGTGAAACTGCTATGAGAAGGACGAATATATTTCTTACTAGTGAGAGAAAGACAAATGTGTATGAGTGAGAGATAGAGAGAAAGAGAGAGAAAGATAGATCTGCAGAAATGAGATAGCTAAATAGAGCTATACAAACTGACAAATAGATATAGAAATAGATAGAGATACAAACTGATTGAAATATAGAGAAATAAGATCAGAATGAGATAGATAGATAGATAGATAGATAGATAGATAGATAGATAGATAGATAGTGTTATGGGACCTTACCCATAATAACATAATGGACTATTCCATACGTAACAAATACTGCGCCTCAAGAGGAAGCAGAGAGTTCCGTCTAAAGTTTGGAGTTCCGTTTGAAGTCTGAGTTCAGTCTGAAGTCTGGAGTGAAGTCCGTCAGGAGTCAGTCAGTCGAGTCGAGTCAGAGGCAGTCCGAAACAGAGTCGCATTCAAACAATTACTACTAAACCTGATTGTTCATACTAACACTTTTCTACTTCTCTGTATATATTCCTGTTTGTAATATATCTGTGTTATTCCATTTCCGCTTTCGAGTTCTTCTTTATTGGTTCTACCTTGGACTATCACCGTGGTATTAGGAACCGGACCATAATAGATAGATAGATAGATAGATAGATAGATAGATAGATAGATAGATAGATAGATAGATAGATAGATATGAAAAGACTGAAATAGATAGATTTGACCCGCGAAAATGCTGTGGGAAGGGCGAATATATTTCTTACTAGTGGGAGAAAGACAAATGTATGTGAGTGGGAGGGTACGACAGAATGAGAGAGAGAGAGAGAGAGAGAGAGACAGAGAGAGACGTAGAAAATAAGATATAAGCTGATTGTCAAAAATGAAACAAGCGTTTCTCCTCACCCGCTTTCAGTCTATTCTTCCTATTCGCACATAGTGTAAAACCCTTGTGAACAGGCAGAAACGCAATTTCCAGCAAATCTTCACGTTTCAACTGCTAGTAAAATTAAACTTATACCATGAATGTTCGTTCCCCCTGTCAAACCTGTCAGATAAGTGACTCCGTTGCTTTTCTGCGTTGTATTGCGTTGGCCTCCGACGGTCTCGAGAGACAATAATGAAGTGCAAAGCGCTACGAGCCTGCGCGATGGCTACGGAAATGCTGGGCCGCACATAAATAAAGAAACCCTCCCGGCCTTGACAGCGGATTCTAAAAGGAAAGAATAAATCAATACTAATCGGTCGAATGCGTAATTGCAAGGCATTGCTGGAAGGTGACAATACGCTATCCAACCACTTTAAGGGATTCACTGCGAATTTATAATTTCTGTTGGGTCTAGTACTTAAACTTTCCTTCTTCTGGAGATCTCACGAAATAGTTGAGGTTTAAATTCAGAGCTTTTCATCTCCTAGACTGGCTGCCACGCGTGGCATGAGAGACCCGTCTGCCCTGTTATTTAACCAACAGTTGAAGTAAGTTTTATTTGCCACTTCGTTTTTTACGATTCTGTCAGAATTCGAACTCAGCACGCTGATTCCACCTTCCGCGTCGATAACCGTCAACGGACCAGTAATTATACTTTCTTATATAGAGAATTCCTACAACGCTACCTACCACAACACCATGAAGAAAGAAAACCCTATGATCTAAATCTAATAAGCTTCATTACAAATACCAAAACTTAAAACAGAAAGGAGAATAATTACTGTTTGTGGGGAACTAATTGTAATGACAAATTTATCATGTTAAATAACTGTTCTTTAAATCTATCATATCAGGTGATGAAAAGTGGGTTGCATACAACAATGTTCAATGCTAAAGTCAGTGGTATCCCAAGGATAAATCTCGACAACAGAACACAATAACTAAACTCCACGGAAGAAAGGTAATATTGTGTGTGTGTTTAGCTTATCGGTGGGCTTCCTTTAGAGTTCTTATAAGTCAAAAGAACACTAAATGCACATTTATAAATCCAGCAGCTGTAACGTGTCAGAAAGTGTTTGGTCAAAAATACCCTATGTTTAAAAATGTTGTTCTGCTCCACGACAATGCATTAATAAGCACCATAGATCACAACTCCTTGAACTTCTCTGCTCCTAACATTTTCCGCATTATTATTGTTTTATAAAACAATAATTACGCGGAATTTTTTTTTAAATTGTTTAGTTTTTTCTATCCAACCTGCCATGTATTATTTGATTATTACATTTT